CTGGAAACTTAAGTGTTTTATTACATGCAACCAGTGTCTCTGAAAAGTATGATATTTGATCAATGAACACAAATTTTAGCCATGCTAAGACATTGTGTTGATTCATTTGAATCCAAAGGATTATGTAAATCCCTTGGAGAAACAAATTATTAATTATTAATCAATAAGTCATTTTTACCAAAGATGCCTGAAAGAGAATCAATATGTCTGACATAATTATGAGTCTGGAACATTTTCTGGTTCCTGTGTACTCTTCAAGTATGTTGTCCATCTTACAGTAATTACAGTGACCATCACAGTTTATGATGAGGGATGCTAAGGATCTCAGAGCTATAGGATGTAATATTTATAAATTTACTGGAAAAATCATTGCTTGTACAAGGCATAGTTTACGACATTTATTAATCCATAATGGCCGTGTGCAGAGTGATGTTTATACACGAGCCAGAATCGTCCGTGTATTCAGCTTCGACAAACTGAAATTTTCCTAAAAGCCTCAGCTATATTTTTGGTGTCCATTGATTGGAAAGAATTATCAAGGAACTGAATGCACTGAGTGCTTTCCGTGTCATTTCATGGCTGCCTGTCTGCCATGCCCTGGCTATTCCCTGTAGACTCACAACAAGGAGGTTTGGGCAAGTTTAAGGAAGTTGATTTTAATGTGGCTCTTCAACTTTGGCATATTTTTCCATATCACCACATTTAGTGCTTTGTGAATTATTATCTGTCATTGTTTTATGTGATTTAGATTTGCTTTTTGAAGGAAATGTCAAAGATATTTGAGTCAGTAGCAAGTAATGTGTTACTGGATATACTGTTAACTTTATTTACCTTTAGAGTTTAAAAAGAAGTATTCTTGCAAAGGGAGGTGAGATAATGTGTTCTAGTGAAGTGTTTGTCATATGTCACTCTGTATTATTCTACCGTAATGGGTGATTATGGTCAAAGAAGAGGAGCAAGCCAGTGTTTTAGTTATTTCTTCACATTTGAAGGAAAGCCTAGTTCTATGGATAGTCAACTTCTTAATTGCAATGAGTGTGACGTTTCGGCGTAGGTACTAACACCGTTATCTTGACTTGCTTGATAACAGTGTTAGTACCTATACCGAAATGTCGCACTCATTGCAATACAGAAGTTGACTATAAATAGAACTACCTTTTCCTTCTTCTTTACAACTTCTAAAATGCCTCTCAAAGAACTTCTTCATTATCCCCCGCAACGCGTTTTGCGGGGGGTATTAAAATGCACTCCGTCCGTTCGTCCGTGTGTGCATACATGCACATTTGTCTTTTCCGGAGCAGAACTCTAAAACCGTTCAATATTTCTTCACCAAACTTGGCACATACATAGATCTAGTGGTCTACTGGCAGTTTTGGATTTCTGAATATAATATTTTTTGCATTTCCATGGCAACAAGTTTGACTTAGACTGAAATTGGTGGTAGTGCTCTTTTCCGGAGCAGAACTCTAAAACTGTGCAATGTTTCTTCACCAAACGTGGCACATAGATGGATCTGGTGGTGAACTGGTGCCTTTTGGTAGTTTGGGATTTCTGATGCAAGTTTGACTTAGACTGAAATTGGTGGAAGTACTCTGTTCCGGAGCAGAACTTTACAACCGTTCAATGTTTCTTCACCAAACGTGGCACATAGATGGATCTGGTGGTGAACTGGTGCCTTTTGGTAGTTTTGGATTTCGGAATATAATATTTTGCGTTTCCATGGCAACAAGTTTGACTTAGACTGAAATTGGTGGTAGTGCTCTTTTCCGGAGCAGAACTTTAAAATGTTTCTTCACTAAACGTGGCACATCAATAGGTCTGGTGGTGTACTGGTGCCTTTTGCTAGTTTTGGATTTCTGAATAAAATATTTTTGGTGTTTCCATGGCAGCAGGTTTCACTTTGACTGAAATTGGTGGTAGTGCTCTTTTCCGGAGCAGAACTTAAAAACTGTTCACTGTTTCATCACCAAATTTCATACATAGGTAGGTCTAGTGGTGAACTGGTGCCTTTTGCTAGTTTTGGATTTCTGAATAAAATATTTTTGGCGTTTCGATGGCAGCAAGTTTGACTTAGACTGAAATTGGTGGTAGTGCTATTTTCCGGAGCAGAACTTTGGAAATCATTAAAGCTTGAAATGACTTGTTCATTTAAACTAGGAAGTTTGTTAGGTTGGTATGGAAACCTCATGTTTGTAACACAACCATAGTTTGAAGAATACAATTTTTTTGCATGGGATTGTATGACTTTAAAGGTAAAGGTCACTCAAGCTTGGGCTGCAGAAAGTTCATTTGAAAGATGCGTTTGGTATTAATATTCAAGGTCAAGGTCATTAAACCAGAAATACTCATAACTGTTTTAATAAGGTAGTTAGAGGCTAGGCTTTTATGTTTAGATGAACTGCATTCACCATGTGTTTTCCAAAATGATGGATGGTATAGAAGCCTGATGGTGAAAGCATTTGCTCATCTCTCCAAAGACTTTGGTTCTATTCCCGTTGTGGGACCAATGTGTGAACCCCATTACTGCTGTTCTACTCTGTGAACATTGCTGGAATATGTTAAAAGTGATGTGAACCACACTCACAAACTCTAAAACTTCCATATTTTCCTATATATTCCTGAAATTTCCTGACTATGTGTTGTTCATTAGAAATGTAAGTGACTATTTGAGGCGTGAGCTGTTGAATGATGTTGCCTTGATGAAATCCTGACATGTTGACTGGTGATCCAGGCATTGAGGGGTCACATTGACTGCACATATGATTGCTATGCTACAAGGTTCATAACCTCCAATGGCTTTGTATACATTTCAATAGTAAAGTAAATGATGGCTATAAGTACTACTTAATGTATTTGCACTCCATTGACAAGAATACACAAGATAATTGTTCCACCAATATAACCATTTAGCCGTGAAATTGCCGAGGTGGGATGGAGAGGAACAGACCCTCGTTAGGACTTACAAGGCCAAGACAGATAATGGGTGCTAATGCATATGTTGGTGGCTCCATATTGGCCGTAACATAGATTGTTATTGATTGCAGCTCGTTACTGCTCGTCACTCTGACAAATAAGGGGAATGACCCCGACTTTCCTGTCCTGTTGTCAAAATCTCCGAAAGACACAGTGATTAATTTTAAGTAATCTGCTATGGACGAATATGTGTTGAGCCAGGCTATGGGGCTGAATAGTAAAGTACAATTTGATCAGAAAGATTTGCGTATCCCTCCTAATGGGATCTTTGTCCGAGCAATCGGATTACTCAGAGTAACTCAGAACATGTTCTGTTTATTGGATTCATTGCCTTCGTATTTAGAATGACTGTTGTGAAAACGGGGATGGGACTGTGTGATAGCAATCTGTCTTGTAAAAGCAGCGCTGTTAAGACACACATGCACGCTGCTACAGTACACACACTGTTGCTATGCTCACACAGACACACGCATAAGCAAACACACACTGATCCAATACACACATTGTTGCTATACACATTGCTTTACACATGCTCACACACACTGTTGCCAAACAGTTTAGACGCAAACACCCACGCTCTCCCTGTTGCCTTCAGTTCAGACACAAACACCTACACTCTCCTGTTGCCAACAGTTCAGACACAAACACCTACACTCTCCTGTTGCTTACAGTTCAGGCACAAACACCCACACTCTCCCTGTTGCCTACAGTTCAGACACAAACACCCACACTCTCCCTGTTGCCAACAGTTCAGGCACAAACACCCACACTCTCCCTGTTGCCAACAGTTCAGACACAAACACCCACACTCTCCCTGTTGCCAACAGTTCAGGCACAAACATCCACACTCTCCCTGTTGCCTACAGTTCATACACAAACACCTACGCTCTCCCTGTTGCCTACAGTTCAGACACAAACACCTACGCTCTCCCTGTTGCCTACAGTTCAGACACAAACACCCACACTCTCCCTGTTGCCTACAGTTCAGACACAAACACCCACACTCTCCCTGTTGCCAACAGTTCAGGCACAAACATCCACACTCTCCCTGTTGCCTACAGTTCAGACACAAACACCTACGCTCTCCCTGTTGCCTACAGTTCAGACACAAACACCCACACTCTCCCTCTTGCCTACAGTTCGGACACAAACACCTACGCTCTCCCTGTTGCCTACAGTTCGGACACACGCTTCTGCCTACTGTGAATAGAGGCAACATGCTGTTGAATCACACTGTTGCCCACCTACCCTCATCAGCACACACAAACACTGAATAGCTTATAGTAGGCCTTTTAGCTGTCAAATAAGAAATAGCAATCTGTTGTCCTCGAATGCTTGCCTTTTTCAGCACACCTTTGGCTGAAATATTTCAAGTCCTAACACTCTTTGTAAACAAAACTGTAAACGATACAATGCATTTTTCAAGAAATGTTAGATATCCCCCTGTGCTATGAACTGCATATTTCTCAGTTATATCAACTGATGATCTGTACTACTTCATGTCATGATGACCCGAGACTGTCACACCATCATGTTTGGAAGTTCAGTTGTCAGCACTGCAACTGTCATATAGCTATGTTACAGTGTTTGGGTCATGAAACACCCTGTAAAACAGGAACACATGATGGTACCTGGATCTGGCAACACAGTAGGAGATACCTCAATGTCAGCTCTCTATTAGAAGTATATTTTGATGTTGAACACTGCAATTACTCCCCTCTATGTCGCAGACACCTGTATATAATCAAGCAAGTCTTGTTAAGTCACATCTACTACTAGCAATGGGTTCCAGGGAGCCTGTTCAAATCCTGATCTCCATTTTAGCGTGGTCTGTCCAGGTGTGTTTGTGGTAAGACAGGTTTCAGGATGAACATTCTATCATTTTAATTGCCCTAATATATGAAGATGAATACTTAAACTAAGAGTTTTGTTGCTCTTACCCATATTCCAGATCATGTGGATGATGTTTGTTTCTGCAGCTTCCTGATGATGGTATCAGTAACTAGAAGGTCACATTGCTGTTGTAGGATGCCCTAGAGAAGAAGGTGGAAGAGCTGACACGGCAGCTGGCTGAAGAGAAACAGTCATCACGTCGTTCTGTCGCCAAACTACAGCGGGAAGTAGCCAGACTGAAGAGTGAGCGCAACTATGCACAGGTAGGGATAGAAACATGTTTTGCTTAGGAGGAGGATATGCAGGTGGGACACTCACCTTGTTGGGGGGAGGGGGATATGCAGGTGGGACGCTCACCTTGTTGGGGGAGGAGGATATGCAGGTGGGACACTCACCTTGTTGAGGGAGGAGGATATGCAGGTGGGACACTCACCTTGTTGCAGGAAGTAGCCAGACTGAAGAGTGAGCGCAACTATGCACAGGTATGGATAGAAACATGTTTTGCTTAGGAGGAGGATATGCAGGTGAGACACTCACCTTGTTGGGGGAGGAGGATATGCAGGTGAGACACTCACCTTGTTGGGGGAGGAGGATATACAGGTGGGATACTCACCTTGTTGGGGGAGGAGGATATGCAGGTGGGATACTCACCTTGTTGGGGGAGGAGGATATGCAGGTGAGACACTCACCTTGTTGGGGGAGGAGGATATGCAGGTGAGACACTCACCTTGTTGGGGAGGAGGATATGCAGGTGGGACACTCACCTTGTTGGGGAGGAGGATATGCAGGTGGGACACTCACCTTGTTGGGGAGGAGGATATGCAGGTGGGATACTCACCTTGTTGGGGGAGGGATATGATGATGGGACACTCACCTTGTTGGGGGAGGAGGATATGCAGGTGGGACACTCACCTTGTTGGGGGAGGAGGATATGCAGGTGGGACACTCACCTTGTTGGGGGAGGAGGATATGCAGGTGGGATACTCACCTTGTTGCAGGAAGTAGCCAGACTGAAGAGTGAGCGCAACTATGCACAGGTATGGATAGAAACATGTTTTGCTTAGGAGGAGGATATGCAGGTGAGACACTCACCTTGTTGGGGGGAGGGAGGATATGCAGGTGAGACACTCACCTTGTTGGGGAGGAGGATATGCAGGTGGGACACTCACCTTGTTGGGGGAGGAGGATATGCAGGTGGGACACTCACCTTGTTGGGGGAGGGGATATGCAGGTGGGACACTCACCTTGTTGAGGGAGGAGGATATGCAGGTGGGACACTCACCTTGTTGGGGGAGGGGGATATGCAGGTGGGACACTCACCTTGTTGAGGGAGGAGGATATGCAGGTGGGACACTCACCTTGTTGGGGGAGGAGGATATGCAGGTGGGACACTCACCTTGTTGAGGGAGGGGAATATGCAGGTGGGACACTCACCTTGTCTGTGGATAGAGGGGGGTATGCAGGTGGGATACTCACCCTGTCTGTGGAGAGAAGGGGATATGCAGGTGGGACACTCACCTTGTCTGTGGAGACAGGGGGATATGCAGGTGGGACACTCACCTTGCCTGTGGAGAGATGGGGATATGCAGGTGGGACACTCACCTTGTTGGGGGAAGGGGACATGCAGGTGGGATACTCACCTTGTCTGTGGAGAGAAGGGGATATGCAGGTGGGACACTCACCTTGTTGAGGGAGAGGGATATGCAGGTGCCATCCACTTTGTCACACTTAATGAACTGCTGACATCCCATACATCAGGTGTCTGTATGGTTCCAGCTGACATATATCATACACGAGGTGTCTGTATGTTTCCAGCTTACATGTCCCATGCATGATGTTTCTGTATATTTCCAGCTGACATATGCCATACATGAGGTGTCTGTATGTAGTTCCTAGATGTTCCATGTTGGGTGACATGCCAAACCTGACAATCTGGTTATCATTTAAAGAAGTCCATGTGTCTGTCAATGAAAGAATGATACCATGTGTCTGTCAATGATGGATGATACCATGTGTCTGTCAATGAAAGAATTATACCATGTGTCTGTCAATGATACCACGTGTCTGCCAGTAAAAGAATTATACCATGTGTCTGTCAATGATGGATGATACCATGTGTCTGTCAATGAAAGAATTATACCATGTGTCTGTCAATGATGGATGATACCATGTGTCTGTCAATGATGGATGATACCATGTGTCTGTCAATGAAAGAATTATACCATGTGTCTGTCAATGATACCATGTGTCTGTCAATGAAAGAATTATACCATGTGTCTGTCAATGATGGATGATACCATGTGTCTGTCAATGAAAGAATTATATCATGTGTCTGTCAATGATACCATGTGTCTGTCAATGATACCATGTGTCTGTCAATGAAAGATCGATACCATGTGTCTGTCAGTGTTAAATGATATTGTGTGCCTAAAGGGCACCATTTATGTCATCACTTCAGTCAGTCATTCAGAGAGAATCATGCTCTGTCAAACCTGAATGTTTGATTTCTACAATTATGAAATGAGGCTTTGTGGATGTTTTAGTTGTGAGATCAGGTGAAAACTGTGCCCTGCTCAGGGGCCTGGATGCCATCAGTGCTGCTGATGGTGTTTGATGTGAGCCATGTCCCACAGCCTGGTGGTGTGTGTGTGGAATCAACTGCTCGGCCAGCCATGGCAGCACCTGCATGCTCCACTAGACATCGTCCTCACTGTAATCCATTACCAAAGAGATCAGTTCCAGCCAACAGATGCGACAAATGTGCTTCATTTCCCTTGTAATATCTCCCAGGAGCAGTGTAGTTGTAGCAGGTTGAAGACAGCAGTTACATGTGTCTCCATCACTGACATACAGTTGTATTTAACTGTATGTGTGTCTCCATCACTGACATACAGTTGTATTTAACTGTATATGTGTCTCCATCACTGACATACAGTTGTATTTAACTGTATTGTATGTGTCTCCATCACTGACATACAGTTGTATTTAACTGTATTGTATGTGTGTCTCCATCACTGACATACAGTTGTATTTAACTGTATTGTATGTGTCTCCATCACTGACATACAGTTGTATTTAACTGTATTGTATGTGTCTCCATCACTGACATACAGTTGTATTTAACTGTATTGTATGTGTCTCCATCACTGACATACAGTTGTATTTAACTGTATTGTATGTGTCTCCATCACTGACATACAGTTGTATTTAACTGTATGTGTGTCTCCATCACTGACATGTGTCTCCATCACTGACAGTTGTATTTAAGCTGTATTGTATGTGTCTCCATCACTGACATACAGTTGTATTTAACTGTATTGTGTGTCTCCATCACTGACATACAGTTGTATTTAACTGTATTGTATGTGTCTCCATCACTGACATACAGTTGTATTTAACTGTATTGTATGTGTCTCCATCACTGACATACAGTTGTATTTATCACTGACATGTTGTATTTGTGTATGTGTCTCCATCACTGACATACAGTTGTATTTAACTGTATTGTATGTGTCTCCATCACTGACATACAGTTGTATTTAACTGTATTGTGTGTCTCCATCACTGACATACAGTTGTATTTAACTGTATTGTGTGTGTCTCCATCACTGACATACAGTTGTATTTAATGTGTATGTGTCTCCATCACTGACATACAGTTGTATTTAACTGTATTGTATGTGTCTCCATCACTGACATACAGTTGTATTTAACTGTATTGTATGTGTCTCCATCACTGACATACAGTTGTATTTAACTGTATTGTGTGTGTCTCCATCACTGACATACAGTTGTATTTAACTGTATTTAACTGTATGTGTGTCTCCATCACTGACATACAGTTGTATTTAACTGTATTGTATGTGTCTCCATCACTGACATACAGTTGTATTTAACTGTATGTATGTGTCTCCATCACTGACATACAGTTGTATTTAACTGTATTGTATGTGTCTCCATCACTGACATACAGTTGTATTTAACTGACATAGTTGTATGTGTCTCCATCACTGACATACAGTTGTATTTTAACTGTAGTTGTGTGTCTCCATCACTGACATACAGTTGTATTTAACTGTATTGTATGTGTCTCCATCACTGACATACAGTTGTATTTAACTGTATTGTATGTGTCTCCATCACTGACATACAGTTGTATTTAACTGTATGTGTGTCTCCATCACTGACATACAGTTGTATTTAACTGTATTGTATGTGTCTCCATCACTGACATACAGTTGTATTTAACTGTATTGTATGTGTCTCCATCACTGACATACAGTTGTATTTAACTGTATTGTATGTGTGTCTCCATCACTGACATACAGTTGTATTTTGTCTCCATCATTTTAGTTGTATTTAACTGTATGTGTCTCCATCACTGACATACAGTTGTATTTAACTGTATTGTATGTGTCTCCATCACTGACATACAGTTGTATTTAACTGTACTGTATGTGTGTCTCCATCACTGACATACAGTTGTATTTAACTGTATTGTATGTGTCTCCATCACTGACATACAGTTGTATTTAACTGTATTGTATGTGTCTCCATCACTGACATACAGTTGTATTTAACTGTATTGTATGTGTCTCCATCACTGACATACATTAACTGTTGTATTTAACTGTATTGTATGTGTCTCCATCACTGACATACAGTTGTATTTAACTGTATTGTGTGTGTCTCCATCACTGACATACAGTTGTATTTAACTGTATTGTATGTGTGTCTCCATCACTGACATACAGTTGTATTTAACTGTATGTATGTGTCTCCATCACTGACATACAGTTGTATTTAACTGTATTGTATGTGTCTCCATCACTGACATACAGTTGTATTTAACTGTATTGTATGTGTCTCCATCACTGACATACAGTTGTATTTAACTGTATTGTATGTGTCTCCATCACTGACATACAGTTGTATTTAACTGTATTGTATGTGTCTCCATCACTGACATACAGTTGTATTTAACTGTATGTGTGTCTCCATCACTGACATACAGTTGTATTTAACTGTATTGTTGTATGTGTCTCCATCACTGACATACAGTTGTATTTAACTGTATTGTATGTGTCTCCATCACTGACATACAGTTGTATTTAACTGTATTGTATGTGTCTCCATCACTGACATACAGTTGTATTTAACTGTATTGTATGTGTCTCCATCACTGACATACAGTTGTATTTAACTGTATGTGTGTCTCCATCACTGACATACAGTTGTATTTAACTGTATTGTATGTGTCTCC